GCAACGGTTAACCTCTTGAGAGATGCTACCGACATAACGTAGAACACTCGACTTGAAAAATTTGTTACAAATTGGGATGTACTTTCTCCTCAAATAACGTTAAGACGCAGCAATATTATTACAATGTAACAAACACATATCCTAATGGATAATGCAAGTATACATACATGAGTGGTTAACTATGCAAACATATATGTATATTAATGGTTAACTATGGAAACGTATACGTGTATTAGTGTAAAATGTGTACGTATTAATTGTTAGCTATGTGAACGTATACTTATGTGAACGCGTTGGCCACCAGAGTGGTCAGTCACCTGTGTCCACACGTTGACCGTCACATGTGATCAGTGCTTTAAAAGTTAAATTATTTATAGGTATATCAAAATTAAAGGCACTTGGAGGCTCATAGGATTAATACAATGATAAACGCCAAAAGATTGAAAGATGAAACTGAAAAATTAAGTATATTTGTTCTTAATAATCTGAATTATATGTCTCATCACAAACATCAGTTTTCACTATGGCGATCAACGTAATGGTTAACTATACAAATATTATATATGTTCAATGTCTACTAAGAGCTATTAATCATAGCTTGATAATACTTTGATATTTTATAGTCATTTTTAATAAATAATAAACGTACTTTATTTATTGATGAAAATGTACTTTATTTATTGATATTTCATCAATCAGTTCTGCAAGTTTTTTAAGCAAATATAAAAATAAGTGTATTACTTGGAGCATGATCATTTTTGTACGCATTATAAGCCTTTTTGCAAATTTCTTATCTCAGATTCATTTTTCAATCCATTTCATCCATTTTCATATAATATTCCAAAGATTTTCATGTAATACCATTATATGAAATTAATACTAACTTAACAAATATGAACACTCAGTTATCAAGATTTAACAAAAGTGATAATAGCTGTAAAAACCAATTAAGTCAAAATTACAAACTTGATATATTTACATTCTATGTATATCCTTTTCTCGATATCAATCAAAACAATGACTGATTATGTACGCCAATTAGTTCCGCAACTTATTACTTATTAATTAATACAATAAATTTTCAATCTGACGGAACATGTCCAACAAACGTCCATTGTCGTAATGTTAAATACGTATTCGCATGTACTCATTCTTTTACAACTTACAACATCGGTGAAAAATATTGCAATTTGCATAAAATGCGAAAGGGTGAAGCAATTAACGTAAACACATTGCTATACTGGTCCGCAGCCGTCACATATACCTTATTCTACGTGATTAAGGCGATCCAATATTGCATGCAATAATTGCAATCAATAGACGTCGCAAGATTTATCACTGATGGAAATGGACAGCCAGTACATATATGCATTTGCCGTGACAGATGTATACGTTCAAAGCTATGAATTTCCGTAGGCAATGCACAAGCGATGACATTAATACGAAATTCAATATTCTGTACCATTTCCCCCACAAAATTATACGATATAAGTAGACAACGTAATTGTAACGAAACGTTTGTACAAGATAAAAGACAATACTCGATTTTAACTCAATTTGGAAGGAAAGGAGGGAAATGGAATAATGGATCAACTTTCTTTGATAGGAATAGAAAAAGAGATGAAATTTGTTTTGGAACGTTATTTTGGTAGCTTTGGTACCTTGTTCACTATCTAGTCAGGTAGTATTCGAAAAATATTCGATTGTTTGCCTTTCAATTGCATCGTTTATATATATGATGGATAGATCACGTGCTCGTTGAAAAGCTCGGAGGCACCAATAAGCACGCTGCATGAGCAAATAAGCTGTTCGAGATTATTCAAATAAATATTCAAATTTAATCAGTTAGAAATTTAGAAATATAAGATTTTATAGAAATGTTGATTTGAAAAATGGAATAATTACTAATAAAATTTTCAATGTGTGCATTAATTTTAAAGCGAAATATAAATAAATGTGCTCGTAGACCACGCACTTCTATTTATTTGTTTCTCCAAACATTTACAGTAAAATTTAGATTTCTTGCTACATTTAATTGTTAACATAAACAGGAAAGCTATACTTATATTTACTTTTACCTTCTATTATTTACGCTACAGAAGAATATTCTGCATACAATGCATAAAATTTACAACATTTTTCACTACTTTAATTTCATACTCGTAGTGACGCTCTGAAAATGAAATAAATTTAAAAAAATGTTGTATGCACCAAGTAGCATGCAAAAGTAGCAAAATATACTAAATTTACTTCCACAGTAAATTTTTAGAAGAAAATTTACCTGTATAATAATTTTATAAAATTAAATTTTGCACAACAATTTTCGTTACCTAATGAACTGCTACGAAGAAAATTATACATTCATGGTGAAGAATAAAGTAATATTAAGTGGATTAAAAATTTCCTATTTTTTAGACGAAATACATTACACGCGCTGCGAATATGTAAATACTATTATCTAAACGATTCAGAAATAAGATCTAATTTATTTCAAAGAGTTCGGCTCTCTTTGTCCAAAAAATGAACAATTAGGTTAACGAATATTTTAAACGGGAAACAATATTTTTACAGTAATAAAGAGGCACGCAAAGTTTAAGAAAAGTCAGATACCCGTTAGATAAACGCGTTCCAGTGATGCTTTTCGAAATTAAACATTCCTGTCCCATCGTTCGGGGGATCAGTTCGCGTTATCCCGTCGCGTTCAACGCAATGAAAATGGGGTGGTGGTTTCCCCCAGAATAATTTGCAGTTTTCACGAACGACGGCGCAAAGAGGATAAGTTGGAAAGTAGCGACGCTCACATAAGTTAGTTAAAGTTAAGTTGTTCAGAGGGAAAATTTGTTTTTGCAAGCGGCCGAAAGTTGGATATATAACGAGCTTTATAACGATCCATGGCCACTTACGAATTTTTACGAAATTTTAATTCTCGTGCCGACCATGCATCCCTATCCCGTCACACTTATCGTTTCTAGCTGGCATCAGATTATTTTATGGCCCGACACGGCGTTATCGCGTTGCACACCCTCGCACCGTTACATTTATACATGTTTCTCTTGGAAATCTGACAGTTATTTGGTTTAGAGGTGCGAAAGAACTGTCATAATCAGGAAACATCGTTTGAAATTTCCTTGGATTATAAAATGATTTCGTATAATCGGTGAGTTACGTTTAGGACTCATTGGTTTGATGAAAATGATACGATGGCTTGAGAAAGATACAGACATGTTTGTCATCATTTTGAGGGAGTTGTTAATGTTTGGTAGACTGGAAAGTTTTGTACTGTTACTGTATTTTTAAGTACTGTTGTACATATTATTTTACTATTGTAGTACTTCACTTTTAATTTTCTATTATTATATCACTATTATATCATTTCTTTATTTTTGCCATTTTAATATTTTACAATTTTATTATTGTATTTCATTACTTCACTATTTCATTATTTCACCGTTTCACTGTTTTACTGTTTCACTATTTCACCATTTCACCATTTCACTATTTCACTATTTCACCATTTCACTATTTCACTATTTCGCTATTTTATTGTTTCATTATTTCACTATTTTGAAATTTTTTAAATTTGAAGCGTTGAAATATAGAAATATGATATTTTGAAACTCTGAAATTTAAAAATATAAATTTTTGAAGTTTACAAATTTAGAAATATAATATTTTTGAATTAAAAAAATGTAGAAATATACAATTTCTGAATTAAGAAATTTAGAAATATAAAACGTATAGAAATGTTCATTTATTAAGTTCAGAGATTTTTAAATTTAAAAATTCCGATATTTACTAATTTATAAATTTTCAAATCTGAAAACTCAAAATTTAGTAGCAGAACTATATCAAATTTTTATATTTTAAATTTTATGAATAGAGAATTTTCAAGTTTTCAACTTTTGCAATTAAAAAATTTTGAAGTTTATAAAATTCAGCTGGTAACTCAAAGTTGTAAGATTTATAAGTTTAAGAATATAAAAATTTTATATTTTTCTATACCATTTTACTTTTAAACCTGATATATGAATTCACCACTGCACATATTAATAAACGGGCAACACCCTCTAAAATATTGATTGATTGATTAATTTTATAAGGGCTTTGACTGCTGTGTTCATTGGGTCGCCTAAAATATTGAAAAGTATATAAAGAACAAAATGTAGTTGTGTGTACATCATAGTTGTATACATCTCCTGTTCTATAAATTTATATTCTATTGATATTGTTATAATTAATATTATTATCACATTGGACCAATAACTAAAACTACTAAAATTATGTAGGATAGGAGGGTAAGGAGAAATAACACTCGAGTACGTTTTAACAAACAAAAGAGATTAACAATATACATATATATTTAAGAATGCACACAAAGAAAGACACACAACACTTCGGACGGCACTGCTTTGCGTCGAAGCTACACGCAAGAGAGTAAAGTCACGATTGACCCGCAAATCTTTCGCACGCGCCAAACGCCGTTAAAACAAAAGACGATCGCTGATGGAAAAAACCCATGTTAACGGTCATTCTATGGAAAAAACCATGACAGCACGTGGAAATAATCCTACAATTATTACAGTAATTAATATATATATTTATTTATACTTTATTGTTTTGTTTTTCTTTTTATTGCAACAAAAAGACCAACCAACTATCTTAAAGAACTAAAAAGAGGTTAGAAACGAAAGCACGCAATATCAGTGTCAAGCTCCACGCAAACTAGCAAAGTTTCAAGTAAATCTGAATTTTTTTTTCGGACCGTTGAAGTTTTCTTGTTAGCACAAGGGTAGCTCAACGATATATCGGCATTCATATTTAACGCTTTCAAAATTGCAATTACTTCGTCTAGAGAAGTTATTTTCGCATTTGTCGCACTACGTTAAACTTGAAGATGTCGTTACAGTTGCTTCTTTGACAACGGTGAATAGAATAAGTTGCTTTTGTCGTGATTTCTTATCAAACTTGTAACGAACACGATACTTTCGTTCGTTTTTCAGTAAAGCCACTGGTCGTGCAGATTTTGACGAAGGAGCCTCGAGTTTCTGCTGACAAGAACTACAACGTGGAGTGCAGAACAACTGGTTCCAGGCCAGAAGCAGTAATTACTTGGTGGAAAGCGAACAAGCAGATTAAGAAAATGGCGCAAAATGTAAGTTCCAGTAAAAGGAAGCATTGAGTCGTGTAATATAAAATATCAGATTTTTCGAGAGAAAACGATAGTTGCTTTTTTAAATTAAAAAAAAATAGGTATAATCTGATAGCTAATTGTGGTCGCAATTGCCATAAGTATCCAGTTTCCTTGGAAATTCTGAGTTTAATACTCAAAGTTGATAAAATTATTCTTATTGTATTTCGTGTACAATAATTTAAACGAAATATGTTGTTAGACATATGCAAAAATTTCGCTAATTGGCAGAGACAATGATTTAATTTATTAGATAATCTAATCATTGAATTGTGGCAGAAAAAAATGTGGATTTTTGCACTTAACTTTCAACCAATTTAGGAAATCATTTTCATTAAATTTTATTATTGTCGTTAAATTTTGTTATTGTTACCAAATTCTATTATGGTCATTCAATTTTACTCTTGTCATTAGACATTATTATTGTCATTAATTTTGTACCTATAATTGACGGGTTAAAATTTTTTAATGTTTATTTCCATGTTATAAAATCAACTATTTAGTATGTAATAATTTAACAATCAATTTCTTGATGAATATTAAGATTTTTTTATTTCGTCGATCAAATTACTATGCCCAAAGAAAAATGCAATTATATGAATACAATTTGCGATGATTGTAATAATTTGCTATTGAATCGGAATTTGGCAGAATCCAATAACGTAGATTGCCGTGTAATGACTCTGAATCAATATTCTGATTCGAATTTTGCAACTGCGTTATTATTAAATGTTGCGAAATTATTTGTTGCATTTCCTGAAGTTGCGTGAATTTGCTTATGCAGATTGCTGTTAAAATGCTTATAGAATATTCAACAATTCATTTTTAAATGTTAAAATCATGACTGTATCTTCATGTATGTAAAATTATAGGTTATAAAGTAATCACTGTAATTTTTCGATTACATTCGGCAGTCGATTGACAAATGGAATGGAAATTAGTTATTTTTTTTATTTGTTAGTACAAAGAAATATTTATCTTTCACCGCAGTAAAAATGTTTTATTATTTATTGATTTATCTAATATCTATTTGCTTATTTATTAATTAACTATTTATCTCACATTTCGTTACAAAATTTTTTATATTGATTTTTACAGTTCAATTTTATATCAATTACTAAATTTACACCTTGCTATTATATTCTATTAAATTTTTTATTATTAGAATTAAATAATTTTGCCTCGAATATGAAATGAAGTAAACTAAAGCAACGGACATTAATTTATACTATTATTTAAATAATCTTGCAATCGTATTCTAATACATTATTTAAATAAATAATTAGTTATTCGGATTAGCAAAAGATTGATATGCTAACAATATGTATATTAAAGAAGCGGCCAATATTGATGTTTGAAAGTTTCGGTTTTGGCGCGTATGCTGATGGCGCCACGAATCGCATAGAAAGGATCGACGATCTTCCTGTTATCGGTCGCGTCCCACTGCGCGTGCTTCCATTGAACAGTACAGTCGTTATACAATAATATAATAAAAAATTATGTGAAAGCAGTATTTAAATAAAAAGAAATAATTCGTGTAATTTTACATAAATATTTCGAAGAATTAATATTTTGTCCATCGTTAAATAAAAGTAATATTTTCATTTAAATTACAAAGTTTTAATGATGTAACTTTTTTGTATTGATTTTTAAAATTTTATATCAAATACTAAATTAAAACTTACTATGTTTTAGTAAAACTTCTTTCTTAAATATAAAGTTAAAAGAGAACTGAAATTAATACATTATCATTAAATGAGAACATGAAATTAATACAACGATTAATTTGTATTGAGTTATTGAGATATGCAAAAAAATTGACGTGTAATAAATAAAATAACAAATATTCATCCAAACATAGCAATTACTTAAAAAAATGAATTACAATAATTTTGCATAAATTTTCTTGCAGAGAATTTGAATTGTGTCTCTTTTTAAATAAAAGTTATGTTAACTTTTCAATTGAGAAGTCGTGTCAGTACAATTCACGAGATCTAAATTCTAAAGAAAATTCTCTAAATCAGTTCGTCACGAGGTTTCGTAGTTCTCGACGACTCGTCAGGACATTGAAGCAGTGAAGTTATTTCGTTTTTTCCTACAAGTAGTCTGCTTTTTCCTGTGCTCTTTTCTGTCTTCGCCTCGATCGACTTCTACCAACATTTTCTTCATAGCTGACGAAGCGAACGTAGAAGTTCACGAAATAAATCGTTGAATACCTTCCTTTTGCCTTCCCGTCTTTACTTTTCTCAATAAATTACAGATCTTACTTGCTTTTTCTATTTACGACGCTGTTTTTTTCCGATATATCGGAACAATTTCTTTAAACGTTAACTTTGTTCTGCGTAACTGCTGCACAACCTGCGAGACCAGATACAAGCAATCGTGCCCTCAGCGATGTGGTACATGAATGTGTAATTAACATTTATGTGTCGACACTTATAAGCATTGATAATGAATTTTTTAGATGAAAATTTCGTGTATTTGCAAATACAAAGTTGTATTCAAAAATTGTTAAGTTTCTATTTCTTCGTATAAAGAACGGTTGTATTTATCAATTTTTAAGTTTGTATTTTTGCAGATACATGAAGCATCTACATTTCTAAATTTCGATAATTTTCAACTATTCGAACTAGTAAATTCAAATATTCCTAAATTTGCAATCTTGATATTTCTGTGCGTTTAAATTTCTAAGTTTATCAATTTCTAAGTTCACATTCAGATTTTCAAATCGTTATATTACTGAATTTAAAAATTTGTTAATTACAATATTTCTTAATATTCAAGTTAAAATTTATAAGTTGTCAAGTTTTTAATTTTTAAAATTAGAAATAAGAAATTTCCAAATTGTATTTGTAAATTTGAAAATTTTAAATTTCAAAAATGATTAGACTGATTCAATATCATATGAAACATGCCGTAGAAAATTAAAATATATTGTATTAATTTTACTAGTAACTTTGTCACATTTTATTTAAATTTTATATATAGTGTCATTTCGAATAAATCTAACGTAAAATTAAAAACATAGAGTTCAGTACAAATGTAAAATCAAGTAATTGAGAAATATATTTTAATCACTTATAATTAAATGTCTAATGTTTATGTAGAAATATGTATAAAAAAATGTATACATATATTGCCTCAATTGTGCATATAATAATAAGTGTTTATTGAATGGTTTATTATGTTTTAACCAGAGATTAATCCTAAAAACCTTCAAACTTTCAAATAAATTTTAAGTTTATTTCTAATTTTTGTGGATATACAAAAGTAAAAATATCTTGCTCCAAAAGTAATGTACATAAGTATACATATTAATTAATATTAATATTTTCACTAATTTGTTTAATCTTACCATAAAAATATGTACATTTATCGAATTGAAAACAAAAACATTATGCAAGAAACTCACAATAAAAATGTTTCGTTCATTTGTATTCGAATATTATGAAGTTTACTCTTCCTTCTCTGCTTTGCTCAATTTCAATATGAATTTAAATAATACGAAAAGTTGTGTTTGGAATGAATATTTGAGGTTTCTATATGAATTCTGAAGGCTTTGTTTCTACATGAATTCGCGTGACGTACACTTTTTGTCCTTTTTATTCTTGTTTCTGTATGCTAATGAATAATGCAGATGCAGTAATAGGTTCGAAGAAAACGGAACGATCACTATTAATAAGTTGATTGCCACATTAGAAGCAGCAATGTCTAGTACAGTACAGGGTAATATTTGTTGCAGACAGTAAGGTTTTATTTGTTAATCCGATGCTTCAATTTAATATTTCAAGTGATTCATAATGTAGCGTTATCTAATATTTTCTTTGTCTCGTCTTACAATTATGCATTTTATTATAAATGCGATTACGTGATTTTAGTTTTTAGTTTGTAACTTTATGATGATGTTGGCCTTAAATTAACTATCTTGAAATTTTAAACCTTACAAATTTTCAAATTCTTAAACTGTCAAATTGTTAGACTCTCAAATTCTCAAATTCTCAATTTCTCAATTTTTCAATTTTTCAATTTTTCAATTTCTCAATTTCTCAATTTCTCAAATTTTCAAATTCTCAAATTTCCAAATTTTTAAATATTTTAATTCTCAAATTCTCAAACTCTCAGATTTCTAAATTTTCAAATTGTCAAATCCTCGAATATTTCAATTCACAAATCCACAATTTTTCAGATTTACAACTTCTCAAATTATTGCATCCACAATTTTTGAAACCTTGAACTCCTCGAATTTTTTCAAATTCTTAAATTCTCAAATTCACAGATCCCTAAATCACAAAATCCCTAAATCCCCAAATCATAAAATCTTCAAATTCTTAAATTCTCAAATTCCTAAATTTTCTACTTTTCAATCTTCCATATATTCGAATTCTCAAATTACTATTTTCTAAATTTTTTAAATCATCGGATGTTAAAATTAACTTTTCAGATTGTACAGTTTTCAAATTCTTAATTTCTCAACCGTCCAAGGATTTAGATACTCAAATTCAAAATAAAGAAAAAAAATATTGAGGCATTAAATATTTTATCAGTTGGAGACTTAAATTGTGAAATTTATTTTTCTAACATCACTTATTATCTATTCTATTCCTTGTTATGATAACCTAACCTAACCGTAATACATACAAGGGTTAACCAGTTATGTGTGTTTGACGACTATATCCGTCATGGAGATGTGGCAGAATTTTGTGTCATGACGACCATATCCGTCATGCGTAAAATTTTGTTACAATTTTGATATTTAAATTGTAATTGTGGCGAAAACTAAATTATATTCGTAAATTGTAATATGTTTAAAATGTTTAGAGGTCAACACGAAATGAAATAAACAAATACAAAGTGTAAATGATTTGAGATGGATTCATAAATTCTTCAGAGCTATCTCGTCATCGCTTGATTAACGCGACACACACTGGTGAGCGCTTTGCAATAAGATCGCCACAGTTAATTGG